TTTCTCCTTCGCATTCATGTCTCCAAGCACTAATTTGAAGGCAAGATGCCATGCAAGGTCATAGAAGGGATTATCATGCTCCCCCACACTCGTGTCTTGGTCTTCAAAGTTGTTTTCAGGAAGGGGAAGATGATGGGAGTCATCAATGCAACCTTCTTGTTCATCCTCACCATGAGAGCTCTCCGGGGTGAGTTCCTCTAGCTCCACATGGTTGTCATCGGACGCCCCTTCAACCTCCTCTTTCTCCTCCAATAATGAGAGCCGATGCTTTCACAAGCTTGTGCCACTTTCTCTTCTAGTGTCAAACCGAGAGGAGAGAGAGGTTGGAAATCCGTGTTGGAGCTTGTTCTTCCAAAATTCTCCATGGCAAGATCCAATTAGGACTTTCCTTTGAGTTATGGGAGATCCAAGCTCGAGCACCCTTCATCAGTGCCTCGGGAAAACCGCTCCACCAAGAGCTCCAATTCGCTCTTTGGCTCCGGTTGTGGAGTAACACATGGTCTCGATGAATGTCCCATGAAAGCTTCCATTGCCAAATCCAACTTGGATTTCTCCTTGGGTTGTGGGGGAAAATCTCCTTGATATGGGGAAGTCTCTTCATATCCCGATTGGTATGGTTCTTCTTCTTGGAATGGAGGTTGATCATAGAACTCGGTTCCTTGGCTTCACCCTCTTGCTCGCTCCATGAAGCTCCGGGGTATCCCCATTCGGGTGGTTGTGGATACCCTCACATATTGTAGAAGCCATTGATTAAGGTCCGAGAAAATAGAGAAGAACGTTAGGAATATATCAAACCGAGCCACATAGTTTGATCCAGACTGTAGATCTTAACAATGATTTGGTATCAATGATAATCTGTATTATGAGATGTTTTGATCTCTTGGTCGGGTCCAGTTTGCGGTTTATCGGACCAAATCATGGACCCAATCCGCTTTCTAGTTCTTGTTAGCAGCCCACTGTACCACTCTCCTTATTCGTCAATGAGATTCAAGTCTCAACTTCAAATTTGCAAATCTTGACCCCTCCTTCATTCATAAATAGCACTCTGCCAGAGAGTATAAATGGTCACATCTCCATATGAAATTATGTTAATGTTTTATGATGTTATGGTGGAAGTCAGGTTGCTCTAACTTTATCTCTATGTCATTCACTTGGATTTAGGATATCATAATTATGCATGCGTGTCTGAATTTAGATTTGAAGGCCAAAATAGTTTTTCTCGGCCATTGGTTCGATTTTATGTGTAGTGGATCCAACAAATTGTTCATTTTTACTCAACATAGTTTACCTGGTCCCGAATAGACCGCACATGCTTGGTCTGAATCATAAGTGTTGGTATGGTCCTTGGTTTGTGTTCTAGCTCCCCGGTATGGATAGTAAATCATATATATGATCCAGTCTGGACTATTACCAACCCTATTGTAGTGATGGCAATGGTGCGGGGCGGGTACCTCAATTACCAACCCTATTTAAGATGTGTCAACTAACGGTCAAACGAACGGAAAGTTGACGATTTGGATATTAGATTGTTTTCGAAAAGGTTTGGCTATTATATTGTTTAAAATGAAAGGTTTGGATATTAAATTGTATTTACCCTAATAACGAGCAAAAGTATAATTATATGATAATGAAATAAAAATTATATACTTTTCATACTCGTACAAAATATTATTTGATAATATCAAAGACACCAAATATAAAATCTAAATGAAAATATTTTGCTAGGCTATGTTCGAGATAAATAAAGGGTTTATAAAAATTAATCTTACTTCAAACTTGTACTGGATTATTGACTATTTTTATAACTGGAAAGTAAGTCTTTAATTAAAAGTATTTAAAAAGGTAATTTTTATGTATTTACAATTCTTTTAAAATATTACTTTATAGGGTGTGCCTACGGTGACATGCATGTTACAGTGACTTGCACTTTCCGGTCGACCTCAGTTAGGATTAGATCGACCTCATATAGGATCTGGTCGACCTCATATAGGATCAGGGTAGACCTAATCTGTTGTTTCAGTGTAAAAACAGTTCATGGTGCATACTTTGGATATTCATATCATACAATTGGCTAGATGGAAATTGAAGACTAATGACTTGTTTTGAAGCTGGAGTGTCCCTCTACATATTGAAGTGATTGAGAGCTCAATAGGAAGTCCAGAAGACCATTTTTGAACCTCATCAAAAGGCTATACCAAAACTGGGAAACTGCCTGGAAATGGCTAAGTCTGGAAACGTGTTTGTGAAGCCTATTTTGGAGCTCAATTCGAGAAGCATGAATGCGAGTCGAGTCCAGGAGCCTCTACCACGTTAAATTAGGTACGTTTTTATACAAATTCAAGGCATTGGATGAAAGATTGGATATCTGTAAGGCTTCAAACAAAAGGGTCGAAGTTGCTATGAAGGCTGTTTTTTTTTTTTGGCAAACTTCGAGCACAAGCAAGCTGCCAGAAAAACAACCTTCGTAGCAACTTCGAGCCTTTTGTTTGAAGCCTTAAAGATATTCAATATTTCATCCAATGCTTTGCCTTTGTATAAAAAAATACGTAATTTAACGTGGTAGAGGCCCCTGGACTTGACTTGCATCCATGCTTCTCAAATTGAGCTCCAAAGTAGGCTTGACAAACACGTTGCCAGACTTAGCCATTTTCAGGCAGTTTTCAAGTTTTGGCATAGCCTTTTGGTCAGGTTCAAAAATGGTCTTCTGGACTTTCTATTGAGCTCCCAAGTACTTTAATGTGTAGAGGGACACTTCAGCTTCAAAACAAGCCTTTAATCTCCAATTTTCATATAGCCAATTGTAAGATATGAATCTCCAAAGTAGACACCATGAAACTGTTTTTACACTGAAACAACAGATTAGGTCGACCTAATCCTATATGAGGTCGACCGAAAAAGTGCATGTCATCGTGACATGCATGTCACCGTAGCAAAGTCCTACTTTATAACCTGTAAAATCTAATTTGACTAGTTTGAAATTAGATTGTATAAGATGAAATATGATAGATGACTAAATTGAATTTAAACCACAAATTAATTTGAATGTGTTTTAATAAACCGCTGGACTACAACCAATGCTACTGATTTTTGCACGCTTATTATTTTATAGTCCTTCTGCAATTTATACTGAATTTTCTAAACTCTTGACATATTTATACTTTAGAGGAATTTTACTATGTTATATAGCATTGGTGTTATAGGTTTTTCCCTTTATGGTATAACTTGAACGTTATGATACAACTTTAGATTGTACATATACTCTTTTGTACAAATTCTTTCATGGTACAACTTGAACTTGTACATTTATGTGATGGTACAACTTTAAGTTGTAAAATTGTATCATAACATAAGGATACAAATTCTTTTATGGTACAACCTAAACTTATACATTTAACGTTATGATATAACTTCAAGTTGTACATTAAAACTCTCATACTTTAGAGCATAGTAGAAGTGTTCAAGTCAGAAATTCTCGGGAGGGATCCCCGAGGGCCAATGTAGCTCCGCCCTGACCATTACATATACCACCTTTTGACAAATTATATGCAGACTATAGTTATTAGCTTAATTTGCGAATTATGTTTGTGTAGCCTGTTTCTCATCGGCATTTGGACGTTTATAGGAATATATAATAGTTGTACGTATAATAAACATAATAATAATAATAATAATATATTATTATATCTAAAGAATGCAGAATTATTGTTTGAAAAATAAAATGGATCCCAATAATATTTCTACATGTTCAAATTTTTATCCGAGGGTGTCCAAAAGAACTATCAGTAGCACGCTAGTTTATCTGGTAGTAGTAGTAGTAGCAGACGACACAGATTGAGCATTGTCTTCTGATGTTGCTATCGTTATGGCAAGCAGTTCAAATTCCTTTTCTCGGAATTGACAATCCTTTTCCTCCTCCGAGGAGACTTCTTCTGTTGCTGGACTTTCCTCGATTGCTTTATGAACATGTTCTTGATCAGCGGACAACTTATGACTAGTTGTGTTCTTGCCGGAAGTCCAGAATCTGTAGCCAAGAAAACATACATAGAAGAGAACCGATCCCGAGTACGGTGCCCAGTAAATCAGACTCTGTGCCAGCACCACCAAGAACACATCGCCCACGTTGATATCGAACACAGCAAAACCATGTTTGATGTGAACGTAGATAGATGTCGTCAAACAAATCAGCACTGAAATACCAAGTAATGACCTTCACTGGGCCTTGGGAAATGCTTAGCCAGCACTGCGGCTTGTAGAGCAACCATCTCCAACAAGATTTTTCGTGCAGATCCCAAACGAGGCAGCTCAGGTGGGAAACACCAAGGTAGGAGTGAAAACATACTTGCTAAAATAACTGCTATGTAAATCATAAAACAGTCGGGCCCAATCTTTGACTCGAGTTTGGTCATTTTCATAACCGCCATAACAGCCCAAGTGTCAGCAACTGTCCCCATAATTTGCCAACGGACCAAAAAGATAGCTGGGCCCATTTCTGGATGTATACCTTCATCTCCACTAAACACTGAACACAAAAAATATATGATAATAATAATAATAATAAGTTTAAATATATTATTGTGGAAGCAGGCAAAGAAAAGGTGGAAAATGTAGAGAAATCATCGAAAAACGGCACTTACCCGCATATGTATATGCGAATCGCGAGTTGCCTGGTAAAGAAAATTGAATTAGTCGAATTAATCGAGGACGACATTGCTGAATCTTACAAGTTTGTGAAACAATATTAATACTAGTATCACAAAAGTTCAACCAATTATCGCCGTAATACTTGACTAGAACACATTTATAATGATAATAATACTTGCACATAGTCAATTGTTTGCTAGTTGCTACTAAGGAAGCTAGTTAGACCAAGCGGGATAGTTTTCTCAATACTCATATCTGCATGCACTACGGATCAGGCCAATCGTTATTTGAAAAAAAAAATTAGTAATTGGGATAATAGAATCAGTAATGAATTCAATTAATTGAGATATGTAGTCTTACGCTTACTCAGAGTTTTATTGAGTGAAAACCAAATTGAAAAAAGTCAAAATATGATAGTACAAATAGATATTAAAGAAAATCGAAATAGGACCTGTAAGAACGGGGCATATCACAACAAGGCAGGTGTATGCAACAACTCAAAATAAGACATGTAATAACGCGCATACGTGGGGACGGAAAATGCTCCGTCCTACATTACGACGGGTCAGGTAATAGTAATAACCAACCTAAGGTATATGTGATAACGCAATAGGACAAATTCAAATTGTCATCCCTAGACCCTATTCATGCATACTAGGTAGTTCAATCAAAGGGGAAAACCTGGCTTCAAAGAAACGCACAAAGAGAAGCCAAGCTGATCATAAAGAAAAATGGAGAAAAGGCACACTATTGACTGGTAGCTTCCTCCTTGGAAACAGTATAATGTGCGGCCAAATAAATTACCAATGACATAGTTTGCTCTATTGGATTACACGAATCGAGTAAGTACTACACACGAGTAGTAATACGAGAGAATAATGCTAATTACCATGTTGACTAATGCTAATTACCATGTTGACTATTTCCAGGAGAATGAGGAGCCATGTCCTTATTTTGTTGGGTGGCTGCAGCTGAAAACGAAGAAGAAGAAGGGTCCGCCATGGCTAATCCAAGTAAAGACAGATAACTCAAGAAACCAAGCAGAATATTTAGGATGAGCAAAGAAAAAGAGGACCGGAGTTGGGGCAATGAAACCAAGTCTTAGCATATACAAGTAGGAGAGGAGTTGGTTTCAGATAAGCAAAAGGATTTGTGAATCCGAAAGATTAATTGGTGGGTAACTAAAACTAAAACTTCATCTTCTGTTCCCTTTCGGTTTTAGGTTCTTTTATTTTTTTAACAATCGCCCTACATTTTGGCTTTGGGCGGCAAGTGGCAGCAAATGCACTCCAAAAACAAGAAACACAGCTACTGATTTTCATTGGATTACAAAGCAACTACACAGAAAAACAACATTGTCAGAGTTACAGCACAGCTACAGTAAATACAACCCGCCCAACCGCCCACTACAACTACAAACCCAAGGATCACAAGAGTCAAAGAAACTACTAAGCCAACTAGAGTCCCTATTCTAGTGAGAATCAAACTAATTAACATCAGGTGATCAGAATACCAATGTACAGGTGATCAGAATACCAATGTACCCACGTAGCCTATCTATTGTTGATGAGTGAAAAATGCAGCAACGGAGCTATCAGCCAACATATCCCACCCACCATAACAAGCACTCACAACTGATGTCCATGGTGATGGTGGAAGAACTTCCTCCTCCCTCAATCCTTCCTCGTCAGCCTTCAACCCCCTGGACTCCAAGTAGAAACGCACGGCAGCAATAGTGAAGCAACCACAGATAAGGAGCCAAGGATACGGGGAAGACGGATTAAGCTTTGCATCCAAACATGTTGTTGCCATGGCGACAGCGCCAGCCGGTGAGGGGGCAGCAGCGGCAGATAGTGATGGGAGAGTACAATAGCCTACAACAGTCCCATTGTGAAGGATGCGGATGATACAGGTCAGAAAAGAAATGATGAGCCCGTTCACCAAGTTGAAATCGGTGGAAGGAACGAGAGCCACAATCATAGCCGCGAACATGGCAATGAGAACCAAGATGAAAATTAGGTAACTGAGATCAGATTCTCCCAAAAAAATGTAAGAAGCACTGCAAGCAACCACAATAGCTAGACCTATAAGTTTTCCAAAGATACCATAATTGTGATGGAAGCAAATTTTCTTCCTAAACCAATAGACACGGTAGAAGTATACTGTGATGAAGAGGAAGACAACAAAGGCAAGGATCGCCCACAGGCCCCATACAGACTTGCGTTTCTGAAAAAATTTAGTGAATTGGAAGTTGTAGAGATGGAGGGGGGAAAAAACGATGTTGATCAACATGAGAAGGAAGGTGTCCGGAACTCGAATGAACAACCAGTAAAACAGAGAGAAGGAGAGTGGTGTCATAAACCAGTTGGTACCAATAACTCGAGTTGTTGAGAGAAGGTTTTGCTGGATCTTATAAGAAGCTTGTGATAGGAAGAATGTGGTAACCCTGTGATTGTGGGAGGAGTTCGAAGAGGCAGCCGAGGAACCGGGATTTCAATTTCGAGATTCTGCATTTCTTGAGAATTCAGGGGGAAAGCTAGAAGAGAGAGGGCAAACAGAGTAGGAGAAGTGGAGTGAACTTTCATGCCAAACATCTAACTTCAATTTATAGAGGAAGATAACCACTCCACTACTAGTTTCTTGGAGGAGCCAGAAATCCAGACCTTTAAATTACGAGCTTAAGGTTGGCCGAAGAAACCATTAAACAAAAAGGGAAGAAACCCAATTGTTCGAAGGAAATTAAAGGTACTCCTCTTGATTTTTGAAACGAAAAAGAAATTAAGAACACACAAACAGAGGAAGAAATCTATTGATACTTTGATGTCAGTCCTCTGGATTACAAGCAAGTGGATTTTATTTGATTTATCAGATTGGGTTTGGGGAAGAAACCAGAAAACTAGAGTAGAAACCCATTGTTTGTTTTGCATGATAGAAATTCAGCTGAATCTGAAACGAAAATTGCGTAAAATCACATCAAACCTCATTTAATCCACATTCTGATCCATGCTTGCTTCTTGGAGGAGAAGATGCGACAGCCATCGCACATCAGATTCTTCACTGTACTTTGATCTTTTGTGGATTGGCATTTAACAGAATAGAGGTTTAGCATTTGTGTTTTGAAAAAGAAACAAACAGAACTGGGAAGCTGAGAGGGAGTTCCATTCGAAGTGAATTCTGAGATTTGGAGATGGAAAAAAGAAATTGAGATGAGACGAGACGAGACGAGACGAGCAAGGAGAAGGCTGTGGTAAATTGGTAAACTACTTACTGTCTTACTGATCATGTTCGGATAGAGGGATGCGAGGGTTTAGCGTGGACCCCAAAAAAATATTAATGGGCTTATTGATGGGCCAAGACATACGAAAATGCTGGACCGAGACCATTTTAGCCTGTCTATCAAATTGTAAAGTAGAGGCACGAATTAAGGCTGTCCAATAGAAACGTGGGAACGTATCAGTTTGCTCTCGTGTCGTGGCACACAGCGGGAACGAATCTGTTTTCATGCAGCGGAAAGGAGTCCGGATCAGGTGAGTAAGGGGGTGCTTAGTCAAGTGGCTAAGCTCCCCTCATCCCTTAGATTAGAATGGGTAGATCTAATGATCCAGATGAAGGAAGGGTTAGTAATTAATCAGAGGGGTAGTTTTGGCATTTAAAAAAATAATTAAATCCTGTTTTCCATTTTTTTATTTATTATTTTTTCCCTTTTCCCTCTCCAATTCTCTCTTCCTTTCCCGTTGTGTTGTCCAGAGAGAGAGAGACGGTGAAGGATGAGAGAGATCGAAACGCCGGTTGAGGAGAGAGGTTGCGGAGATGGAGAGAGAGATGGCGGTGGCGCATGCGACGTTGGAGGAGGGAGAGGCGATTTCAACGATGGTGGTGGAGGAGAGAGAAACATCTCCAAAGGCGGATTTGACGGAAAACGGAGGCAACGGAGGCGACAGGGGATGAGAGAGATTCGGCGATGCCACCGCCACCCACCCCGCCGGCGCTCCCAAACGCTGCTCCATATGCCTATGACACCCGCCGCCACTGCTTTCCACCCTAGCCTGAATTCCTGCACCAACTACACAATATAAAAGCAAGGGGAAGAGAAAATAAATGAAGTAGTGGTCAGATGTGCTGGTAGCCATAAGTTTGCTCAGATTGGCGAAACAATTTAATTGTCAAAATAATTTATTGACCGGTGGCGGCTTCCTAAGGTACCCATCGACGACGGTGGTGAGATCAAGTGGTAGTCATACAAATCATACTAACATAGTATACAAAACATACTAACTGTACAAAATACAACTACTTACAATATAAATCATACTAACATTGTATACAAAGCATACAAATCAGAAGTATACAAACATGATGAACAAAAATAACAAAGTTTACAAACATTACAAAAGTAACCCATAAAGATTACAAAAATAACAAAGCTTACAAACAAACCGACAAACATTACATACCATACTAACTGTACATGGTATATAAAACATACTAACTGTACAAAATACAGCTACTTACAATATAAATCATACTACATTGTATACAAAGCATACAAATCAGAAGTATACAAACATTTCAAACATGATGAACAAAAATAACAAAGTTTACAAACATTACAAAAGTAACCCATAAAGATTACAAAAATAACAAAGCTTACAAACAAACCGACAAACTGTACATACCATACTAACTGTATAAAATACCACTACTTGTAATACAAATCAATAAACTGAGATTACAAACTAATAAATATAACGTATACAAAATAGGCAAACAAACATTACAAATTACAATATGTACAAATTAGTTATATAAACATTACAAACTAGAATAATAAACGATACAAACCAAATTAATACAAAAATACAAACCAGACTTACAAACATTACAAAATAGTCTGACAAAAAATCCCCACGGAGACCTCTCTCTCTATCCCCACGGCAGAGGGAAAAATCCAATTCCCATAAAAGAGACCGTCGGGGATGGATACGGGCAGGGAGGCGAAATTTGGAGGGGACCGAGTCGGCGGTGGAGAAAATCACGTTGGGGGAAAAAAAACCACTTTGCCGCCGAGAGACTCTCTCTCTGGGCGGCACACAAAATCACGTTGGGGCAAAAAAATCCCTCTCTTCCGGCGAGAGACTTCCCAGGAAAGGAACGAGGGCAGAGGGAAAGGAACGAGCTCCTGCTGCTGCTCCTCCTCCGGTCGCCGCCTTCGACGTCGAGCAACCGCCGTCGCCCCGCTCTCCCTCCTATCCTTCCTCCTCCTCATCCCCTTCCTCGTCGCCCTCCGGCCAGACTCGCCTCCTCTTCGCGATGCCCAATCTCAAAGTGCCGGTAGTTGCGTCGCGGCGGGAAGATGACGTCGACGGGTGCAGGTCCACCGGTGCCGCCGCAGGAGAATAAAGTCCCGCAAAGTGCGGGTAGTTGCGTCAGGAAGATGACGTCGACGGGTGCAGGTCCGCCTATTTTTATTTTTTAATTGGTAAATAATTAAATCATGTAATTACTTTACTACCCTTCATTAAATGAGATCAATTAGAGCCATTAGATTTAAATGAGGTTCAATAGCTGAGATTGACTTAGTCATGTGACTAAGGGACCTCCCCTTAGTCACCTGATCTTGGCCCAGCGGAAAGCCACAAAGCCTATGTTTTTAGAAGTGCTTTTCGGCTTCAAAAGCCGAAGTAAGGCCAAACACCTCTAAAAGCTCGCCTTTTGAAAAGTCGAAAAGTGCTTTTGTATAACATAAAAGCAGAAGCTCCGATTTGGACTTTTGAAGTTTCTGCGAAAAGATGTTTTGAAAATACAAGATTATAATTACCATATTTTAATTTTATTTCAAAAAATATAATTTTTCTTCATTTATATCATTTTAAAAATAAAATAAATTATAAAATTATATTATTTAATATAAAAGAAATATAACAAGAACCATTTTGACTAATTTTATTTGTTTAGAATTTTTATTTAAATTTTATATTATAAGTTCTTTATAGTCATTTTACACAACCGCTCATATTAAAAAGCACTTCTAATAGTTTTACAGTCAAACACTAAACTGTTTTTTTAAGTACTTATCTAAAATCTCCAGCCAGAAGCTGCTTCTACAAAACCTACAACAAGACCAAACTAAGCTAAGGTAAATTTCAAGGTAAATTGCGACAGTGGAGTATACAGGAATTTTGTTAAGGTGGGTAAAATGAAAAATATATATAACATAATTAAAATTAATGTCCTAAATAGTTCACCCGTTTTCATACTCTTAAAAACATAATTAGTAAATACACCATTAATACAAGTATATATGGTCGTACTCGTATGTATTATAATACATCCATTTAAAAATTTCGCATTAGTATTATTATCAAGCCATTTTATTTTTTCCGTTCATTTGTTGGCTCCTGTACTAAGCACGTATAAACCCATACAACACGTTTAATATATGTATTTAATGAATATATATTAATTTATTTTTAAAATAGTTAAATTTTATATATCTTATAATTATTGAGTATAGCATACTATTAAACATACTATTAATTTAAAAATAAAATACCCGTACATATTTTACACGTAATTTACTAAAATATTTGTTACTTATTTGCTAATATATTAGATATACTAATCCTAAACTCTACTTCGCTTATCACCACACTGACCCACCTCCTCAATAAGCAAGAGTCATACTTTGCCTAGAAGTTCATAGACCTTCATCTTCCTTCCAAACCTCTACGGCTGTAGAGAATTCCCCTGCCTTCGCAGAAAACCAATTCCTCGGTTATATGTATTCACTAATTCGCTTCATCCTCGGTCACTGGCCGTGATCTGCAATTACCTCTTCCCATCCACTCAAGATCCTGGCCACCACATCTGGCCGGCGTATTTCCCATCTTCTGACCGGCGTATTTTCCCTGTGGCTCGAAAGCCAAGGTGGTGCAGCTGACCCACCTTGCTTTGCTGTGGCTCCGCCACTGGCGACAGCTCTACTTATAATTGTCCGCGTTTGTTCATTTAGTGGCACAATAAGCTACGGTTTATCTACTTTCTCATTGGTTTATTTAAAAGACAAGAAGCTAATTACTATGTTTCAAAGTATACGTGCTTCTAGATACAAATTTAATTTGTAGTTTAATGTTAAAAATATGAGTTAAGTCTGTATCATAAAAAAATTTATACGAAAATATATATATATATATATATATATATGCACAAAATTAGTATACTACGAATAAATAGTAAGTTTGTATCATAAAAAATTTCTATGGACAAAAGCTAGGCATGCGTTTTACTATGCAGTATTTGTTCCAAAAATTTTATTCCTTGAAAAATGATAATTAATGCAGGTCTATATTAGGGTTAAAAGATCAATTAATTAATAATATGATTTACCACCTAAATAAGACCCACCAAATTGTAACTTTTATAACCAACCGGTAGGAACGAGTCTATTTATGTGATATATGATACACAATTGATGAATTTTTTTTTCTAATAGTTCACGTGTTGATCGACTTAAAATACGACGACGTCTTCAAGGTTTCCATCATTCAAATCGTCCACCCTGGAATCAAGGTGTCAACAATATTCACATCAAACTGCTCATTAAATGAAGTGGGAACTGAGACTTTGGAAAGAAGCAATGACATCAAAGCAAGAACTGTTCTCTGGCGAACAAAGAGTCGAGCCCCTGCAATTGTTGGATCTTCTCTTCTACAGATATAGAAGAACTTTATTCCTTGTACACTACCTTTGTCAGAGCAATAGCAGTAGGCTAGAGGCTTTACAATCGTCAAGTATCTCAAATCAAGGGCGGAGTGATTAGCTGGGATTTGAGTGGCTTGCTTCTGCTTGAGTGTGTAGTGAGTGTGTCGAATAACTTAGCTTGCTTGAAACCTTGAGAAGGATTATTTATCTCTTTCTAAAAAGCGTAAAGACATATGTTCTTAGTGAGAACCCTAAATGGTTACTAAATTTCAGTGATGGTAGTCACCACGTGTTTTCATTTTAGTAACAAAATATTCACTCCATATAACCCTAAAAGTAAAGAAATTAGTAGACAAGATAATGAGAGAAATGAAAGCAAATATGACTTCACTTTACCTTGCCCTCAATGCTCAAAACGAGTAGCTCACAAGTCGAGTTCGACAAGCCACCAAGGTTTGATCTATTGGTAAAATCACTAGTTTTGAACTTTGAGGTCACAACTTCAAATCCTTTAAATAACACCTAACAACAAAAAGTAAACTTATATCGCACATAAAAAAGAAGAACAAGTCACCGAATCGAGCTGGCTCACGAGTCTTGCGAGTCATATAAGGTTGATCTCAAACTCGACTCATATATAAATAAGTCAAGTGTTGATCAAATTATTTCAGAACTGATCCTCAAGGCGCTCATAAGACCATCCCAACGGCTTTTATTCACCTATTTCATTGGTGACATGCAAGGAAGTGGGATATATCATGGATGTGGGAGCTATTTCGGATTGTCAAAAAAAAAAGGGAGCTATTTCGGGAAATGGGCCCCCTTTCCATCTTTTGCTCTTTTTTATAACATTTTTGTTTTCTTTATTTGAATTGAAAAGAGTGTAGTATTGTTTTAACTTTTATTTATCATTTGCTAACTACAATTTAAGATAACAAAAAATTTATATTAGGTAAGTTCATTAACCTTTGATTAATTAAATTTTCAAAATATGAAAATGCAATAGTAAAATAAAATACATATATATAATACTTAATAAAAAATATTAAATACACATACAACAATACATATATAGGAGTCTTAAACTGTAACACAAACCAAATACGTGTACGACAATACACACCTAGATAAAATGTGTAGTGTATTAAAAAATAAGCTGGACCCACCATATGAAATAGATAGTGGATTTCATGGATGTAGAGAGAATGGAAGTTATATGTAATGAAATGAAAAAAGCTGCTGAGGTGGCAATAGGGACCACATATGAAATAGAAATGGTATTTTATAGATGTGGATGGTCAAAGCAGTTTGGCTGATTTGTAGTTGTGAGAATCTTTCACCCGAAAGAAGCAAAGGCTACAATTTGCAGCAAACAAAACTCTAATCTTAAGGAAAAGGAAGTGATGGTGACGGTAATGGAGAGTAACTTTTGTCCAGCTTTCTTTCAAAAAGTTGGATTTTCTCAGCTTGTTTTGGAAAGACTAGACTGGACGATGGGCAGCCCGAGTCTCGATGTTGGTATGTTACAAACTCTGGCTATTTAGTATATGCAATCGAATTATCACGATTGACTATGAGAAGTTGACCAAAAAGGAATAGTCTGCTACATCTAGCATTTCATGTCAACATCCTCCCAACGCTGACATTGAACACTGCGCAACCATTATCGTGGAAACCGTATCAGCTTTGCAACGAACTAAACTGCAACTCTACCGTTGAAGATCTAACACGAGTAACTCGGATAAACAACAAAAACAATCTCAAATTTGAATTATGTAACTCTCTAACGGTCCCATGCAAACTGAAAATTTAATTATAAAAAAAATTGATGATTTAATGTTTAATTATTTTTAAATTTATTCTAATATGTTCATAAAAGTAGGTTTAACATCGCACAAACTTTTAGTGTTCACCTATTTTTGAAAATTGTTGACAATTTCAATTCATTCAATGGTAAATATGTAACCGAGTTTGTACCGAAAAAGTCACCGAAAGGATATTTTCTGTTCAACCGTGGTTCAACCGTTTCATACCACTAAAACTGTCTACATGCTTGGTTCTCATATGTTGTTTTTCGGTGGACTAGCGATATGGTACAATTTTGCAAATACCAACTAAATTTTAAAATGCGGTAATCAAACCACCAAATTTTCATATCATATAAATCAGTACTAAACACGCTTTTATTTTCAGGTTTCACTTTGAGAAGTCTAAAAGGTTCTCTGCTAAACATGGGTTTTCCAGGAAATTGTAGTTTCCTTTCGTTTAGGTTTTGTTTTTCATTGTTCAGCAAAAGAAGAAAAAACATAATGGTTACTGAACGTACGAAATCTTTTTTCCTGTTACCGATTTTCGTGGTCCTTATTCTCTTGACCCATAAATTCATTCGTTTCATCATCTTCTTTCCTTCCACTGAATTTGATTCTTTCGGTGACACTTCCCCTTCTTCATCATCTACCAGAGTCTCTATTGAATGCACTTTCTTTTATCGTTCGATCATAATCACTTTTTCAATTCCTAGATTCATTTGACTTTTAGGTGAGATTAATCGCAAGAACATGTGTACTTTCTGTTTAACTCTATAAGCTAATATATCATAGTTCAAATTAAAATTTGGAGGTTAGTCATGTAATAATTAATTTTGGAGATGAATCTTTGGTACCGGGAGGAATCTACCTCCTTGACCTGTTGTGGGAATTACTGCAACAATTTCATTGAATATGTTATCAAGATTTTTTCTTGGAGAGAGATTTCAAAACCTGCCTCTTTCAGTTATCGCAGAATCATAAGATCTTGGTGGTATTTAGCTTTCAATTTATCAAAGTACTTGATCTATGCACTTAATCTCTTTTGTGCTATTAAATGAATTTGGAACTTACGAAGCATATTATCAAATTTGAGACTAGCAATTTAGGTCATTCATTTGTGATTATCAATCCGCAACGTGCACTTTCAAATCATACATTTTCATATCTATAACCCGTGTTGTGATCAACAAATATGATAAATAGTGAAAAAAAATTTCATGAGTATATTGGATTATATAAAAAATAATCATAAATATTTTCTTTGTGAACATGTATATAGCTGATCATCGTATATCTTTGCTTTTTTTTTTTTGGGCATAGATAGGGTACATTTTAGATATTACAAGATACTAGACAACCAGACGCGACAGTCGACAACTAGCAAACTGTCGATGAAAGGGCATTAGTAGCCACAAGGTGCGCAGGCCTATTGTACAAACGAGGAGTAAAAGTGCAATAAAAATACACAAAGCAGTCCGCCATCGAGAAAATTTCTTCTAGCACCGCACCACCAGCTCCATGGGTCGCATCCCTCTCTCGAATCCGATGAATAAGAGGTTGACAATCACCACAAAATTAACATACATAGAGCCATGCATCAGACACCAGTTTACCGCATCACGGAGGGCTAATATTTCAGAGATGAAGGGGTCAGTTGTACCTAGGTAAAACTTCCCGAATGCAAAGAGAAGCTCACCTTGATTGAAAAAGTCAGCAAACCCGGCTCCTCCACCCACTTCCTTCTTCCAAGCACCAACGAATCTTACAAGAACCCCCCCCCCCCCCCAGAAGGGCAAACACCATCCTGCAGAATACGGGGAAGCCCCTGACGCGCACGGGCTCGGGAACCAGCCTGTCCATCATCATCCCTGTGAAGCATGAGAGTAGAAGTAGCAAGATGCCACTCATCGACTTGCGCCTAGAATTGCCGAAGAAGAGCTATCCCGTTGTATTGAATTTGTTTGTGGATCGCCCAACAACGAGATTTCCACACTCGCCAACAAAGGAACACAACATCAACAAGATCACTCTTTGATAAATGACAAGAAAAAAAAAAAGAGTAATCCAACAATCCAAATGGGAAAGACCCACCAGTCGGCGGCGAAGGGAACCCAATCCTACGAGATCCCAAAGTTCAGATGTTACACGACAATGCAGGAATGAGTGCATAATAGTTTTCGCACCCACCGAGCAGATTGGAAAAGTGATATCCGTAACAAGACGCTTGACCTGCAAAACTGCACTTACATGGAGGAAACCCCGAACAACCCTCCAGCAGAAGAACTTGAGTTTAGGCGGGAATGGGAGGCTCCAAAGTAGCTTCCAGAATATGCATTCATAAGGCAATGGAGGGGGGGGGGGGATTAACAACAAGTAGTTCATTAGAGAGCACATGATACCCACTTTTGATAGTGTATTCCCCATTGGGAGAATGGTGCCAAATGAGTTTGTCTGAGCAGGGGACCAAAGCCAAGAGAATAGATATGATTAAGCAGACCGAAGCATGGATAGACAGACTCTCAAGCAGCAGGACATTCCAAGATCGAGTAAAAGGACAAATAAGTTCCGAAACGAATATGGGATAATAAGTTACATCCTGTCGAAGTATGGGAGAAGAGGGAGGAGTAGTAGGAAGCCACTTATTTGATAGGATTTGAACTAAATTCCCGTCCCCGAAGGAGCAGATCCCTCCATGCTAGAATGCCTTGCCAAGCCCAAGATGGCCTTGGACCCGATCTTGCCTCCGAAAAACAAGAATGAGGGCGATACCTAGATCGATATAGCTCCGTCAGTGTTGAATGCGGATTCATGAGAACCTGCCAAGCTTGTTTAGCTAATAGGGCGATATTGAATCTCTCAAAGTCGCGAAAACAAAGTCCCCCGGCAAACTTGTTATAACAAGCCTCTTGCCATGAGAGCCAATGCATTCCATCCTCTTTGTCCTGATCAGCCCACCAAAATCGAGAGAGTTGTCCATTTAATTTGCGATAAGTGAAGGAGGGAAGTCGAAAAGCAGACATAGCATAAATAGAAGTGGCAGAGCCAATGGACTTTATTATGGTCTCCTTCGCTGCCAAGGACATGTGCTTAGTTTTCCAAGACCGGATGCGGCTAGCTAACCCTTCTTCAATAAAACGAAAGGTTTGAGTTTTAGACCGCTGAATATGAACAGGGAGTCCAAGGTACTTGTCAAGGATATTCGAGTCCCCCACTCCAAGAAATTACCCCAAAGCTGTGTGTTCCTGATCAGAGACATTAGAGCTAACAACAATAGAGGATTTTGAAAGATTAATCTTTTGCCCACTTACACTTCCAAGCTCATCCAAAAGGGAAAGGAGGGCAGCACATTCCGGCAAAGATGCCCTCAATAAAAGATGTGTATCATCGGCAAAAAATAAGTGAGAAGTCAGGGGTGCAAATCTATGAACACGTAAACCATGTAAGTTTGCAGCCATGATCTCACAATTAAGTTTTGTTGAGTGCGCCTCTGTATAAAGCGCATAGAGAAGAGGAGATAAGGGATCACCTTGTCGTATACCTCGTTGGGGTTTTAAATAACCATGGGAGTGGCCGTTGATTAGAACAGAGAATGAAACCGTGCATATGCAAGCATTTATCCAACGCCACCACTCATAACAGAACCCTAGCTGCTCCATGATCAGTAAGAGGAAAGACCATTCCACTCGGTCATAAGCTTTTTCCATGTCGAGCTTCAACGCCATCCATTTATCCCGACCCCGCACTTTGGTTTTCAAATATTGCATAACTTCTTGGCCAATGAGAATATTGTCAGTAATCGATCTACCACGCACAAAGCCATTTTGGGTTGAGCTAACAATGTTAGGTAAAATTCTACTAAGGCGGTCAGCCAGAATTTTAGAAATTATTTTGTAGACTACTTGACACAAACCTATGGGACGAATCTGTCGCATTGATTCAGCATGTGAAACCTTCGGCAGGAGTGAAATCAGGTATGATTGAAGCTATGCAGTAGTCTGCCGGAACTGAAGAAGTTGAGGACAGCTGAAGTGATGAGCGAACCCACAACGCCCCAATGAGCTTGGAAGAACGCTGTTGTGAAACCATCGGATCCAGGAGCACGATGGCTGTCGATCCTAAAAACACCATCCTTTACTTCTAATTCCGAGACCGGGGTAACCAAGAATTCATTCATTGCAGCAGAGACCTTGCTGGTAATGCCCAAAGATTCGACATACATGGATGCATCAACATTGTTAGATGTGAAAATGGTTTGATAAAAGGTAATAGCTATACCTGCCATGGAATCTTCATCATGATGGAGAGCCCCAACCTTATCTCGAAGACCACCTAGGCGATTGAATCTCCACCACTGCAGCACGAACCGAGGAAGAGATTCGTGTTGGCATCCTCCTCGTTCAGCCAACCAACCCGAGATTTTTGCCGCCAGTAGCAGTCCTCCTGGATATAAGCAGACAAGAGATCCTGTTCTAGGCGATGTATGGCATCCCAATCAACTATAGCAGCCTCGCGGAGCTCCTCGATAGTACTCTTAAGCTCTCTTATATGTCGGGCTGAATTGGATGTGCCCATCCGAGCCCATTCCACTAGATCGTGCTGAGCTATTTTGAGTTGGGTGAAAGCCCGGAATTGAATAGACCCTCGCGTAAGCTTGGACCACGCCCCTTTAATTACTTCCACAGCTTCTGTATTAGTGTTCTAGCGACCGTCGAACTGAAATCTTGTGTGAGGTTGGCACCCCTGCTTGATAAGCTGCACAAGAAGCATGCGATGGTCTGAACCTAAATCAGTGAGATGGATTACCTTCAACTGCGACCATTCGGACAGCGTCAGCGTACTTCCCAGGCAGCGATCAAGATGCTCCATGATGTGAGCACCACCCGCCCGACGATTCGACCAAGTGAAGGTTGAACCCTGAAAGCCAAAGTCAATTAATCTTGTACTCGATACAAACTCATTAAGCTGATCCAAAGCTGCTAAGGATGGGATATCCCCCCCCCCCCCATCTTTTCATCTGAAGAGAGAAGGCAATTAAAATCCCCTACAACGAAGGAGGGTAACGAAACCGACGAAAGCAAATGTTTAATTTCATTAAGCTTTCCCTACCGATCAGCAGAGTCACAAGAGAGATGAACAAAGATAATTACAAAGTTCCCCACAACAGGAACTAGACACTCAACAAAACAAAGAAACGATGAAAGTTGATGGACTGTACACACTACATGATCTAACCAAGCTACGGCCAAACCTCCACTACCATTGGAGGCACTAAAACATCTCACTAGTTTGAAACCCATGCTTGCAAATTTGGCTTTGAAAAAATCATCATCACGTTTGGTTTCACTAAGGAAGATGATACTAGGTAAGAAGCGAGCCACGGCTCCACGAAGCAAGGGAATCGTCAAGGGGGAGCCCTTCCCTCGACAACTCCACACCATGAAGGTCATGGGTCGGGTTGGGCCCAGTTGAGGCTGGAGGCCACCACCTTACCAGAATCAGAACCACCGAGCTCCATCGACAGAGACGGTTTTGCGCGCTTAGCCACATGGGAAGCCGAGTTGGGAACAGAATCCTCCTCCATGTTGGTGTTTGTCGCCGCAGAAGCTAAGGCTGGATTGGAGGAGCCCGATGGGATGGAAGCAAGGGAGAGAGCCTGAAATTTAGAGCCCATCAAGCCAGATGGTGGACGGCGGTTATCCTGCCACTCCTCCCCCTTTCCACATTCCTCAATGGTTGGCAGCAACAGGCGATTAGGGTGTGGGGCAGGTGTTCGAAATTCTCACCTTTACGAGGGCGGGCCGGGTGCTTCATGGCAGCACGAATCCAGGTAAAACGCCGACGCCTCCTCGAGAGAGTATCCACCGTCACCGGTGGCCCTGATTCAGTCGCCACCAAGAAGATGTCGTACTTTGAAGGAGCCCCAGACAACTCCTTCCGGGGACAACCCTCCCCTATGTGTCCAATAACACTACAAAGAAAGCAGAAGTGAGGAACACGCTCAAGCTTAACAATTGCGACAAAGTTACCTCTAGTCGGATCGACGTGCCCAACAGTGATCTCGTCAGGCAGAGGGGCAGTTAAGTCGAGTACCGGTTCAACCCTCATGTAAAGCCCACCCGAAACCTAAGAACGGTGGAGAGTAGGGGAATCCGAGAGCAGCCCTAAAGATGATCCCAATCGCAGTGCCATCTTCTCGATGAAGCAATCAAACGGTACCCTTCCAAATTAGGGGTGGCTATACGGTCCGGTCCGGTTAAATTGGCCCGAATTGATCTGGTCCCGATCTGGTTTTTTCGAGAATATAAGGACCAAAGATTGGATTGGATACAGTCCGGTCTTGATCCGGTCCGGTCCTAATTTGGTCTTGATTTTAGATTGAACTTGTGGGGATTTGAGTGGCCTGAGGGGGGATATGAGTGGCCTAAGGCCTGAAAGGTGAGGAGGTTAAATTTTTGGTGTTGGGCTCTCTTATCCGGGGTTTATCCGATTTCCGGTCCGGTCTCAAACGATTTTTTACCTCAAATCTAGGCCCGAAGATTGGATTGGATTGTTTACTATCCGGTCCTGGTCTGGTCTCGATCCGGGTTATACAGTCCGATTTCGGGTAAAACCAAATAGCCAGCCCTATTCCAAATGTGAACCGCCATTGGAGCCCAACGAAGTTACTCAGCCACCTCAGGAGAAGGGTTAGCCCAGCGTGCCAACACAATCATGGAATTGTCGAAGATTCAAGGCGAGTTGGCAACCATCATGCGAAGATCAGCCTGCTCCGAGAAGAGAAATTGAGTCAAACCCTCATCCACGCTGGATAAGGTTAGGTAACAAACTAACAACACATACAAAATACATAATAATCAAACACCCGGCCAATCAGTCAGGCCCGGCGCTAGTTATTAAGATATATATTCATGAACTTGGAACCGAATCAGTTAGGAAGCAAACGAAATGAGGAAGGGAACTAAACTATCCTCTGAACACAACAGAACAAGGGATCAAGAAGACAACAAATGAGGGAAACTGAGAGTCGTTCTATTAAAGACTTCCAAAATGGTCAGTCGAAAGATTTACAAGGGTTCCTGTGTTCCAGCTAACAATCCCTCCACACCCAACAAATTCCAGCATGACAAAGCTCTCCACTTTTCCCTCAGAAAACCCAAACCCGATCATGACGATGTTCGCCATTGCAGCTCAATTTGGATCTTGCCATGCCTCGAGTCGATGAGATTGTACTTCTGGTTGATTCTCTTGTTCGAGACCACGTCCGCCAGATTTATGGTCACGTGCCCCAGAACTTCCTGTGCTCGAAAATTTGACAAATGAAACAAATGTAAGCATCCAGTCAAAGGAATCAACATCGCTTACAACCTGTTTGGAATCAACAACTGTCAAAGGTTCCTCCAGCACTAGAATTAGAGGAATTTTTTTAGTGATGAACCCAGAATTAATTGATGAAATTGAACATACAAAGAACTCAGATTCCATTTTTATGAAATTGATTTTAAACATACTGTTAGATTTGAAGCCAGCAATATGGGATCAAAACATTAGTACCTTAGGGTGTAATAGACCAATTCTTGACGAGACGCTAGCAACTTCCACATGGAGCTTCTCATTCGTCGGCGGTTCCTCCAGCGTAAACTGAAACTCCTCGTCCCATCTCGGATCACGGTTTTTCTTCACATGCTGCAAGCAGAACCATGTTCCGTTATTGGGATCCAAAACATATATATCAGGCAGCTTATGAGTCATTTACGTACCTTGGTTTTCCTCTCCTCCCCTCTGAAAGTAAGCTTCGCATAAGGGTTTGTGTGGTTCTTCCCTTCGACATCTTGTGCTTCATGTATAATGATCACCAGCAAGCCTCCACCAGAAGGCGTTCCCTCAGGAGCTTTCTCTACACCATCAGACTCTTCAACAGCATTGGGCATCTCATCTTCCTTGAACGGTTTGTACAGCAGCTCCACAACAAGCTGACCACGCGATTTCTCATTCTGAGCATCGTTTAGGTCCATATTTTTCAGCAGTTCGAGCGTCATGACTTTTGACTCTTCAGGTGTAAGTTCTTTCAATGGGATAACATTCATTCCCATTTTGTCATGCTTACCCACCTGAGTAGATCATAGCCGTACAGGTTAAGAAATCATGAAGAAAAGACACACATTCAGATTTAGAAATCAGGTTTGGAAACCAAGTTTAAACTAGAAATCATCACACATTATAATCAAATAGGAATAGGGGGGAAACAGTAGTGATATAACTCATGGTTCAATCGGTTGCAGGAGAAATGAAAATCACATATTTTTTGTAGTAAAACAGAATATTTTTATCAAGTACGTCAATAAGTATAATAATACTAATAAGTAATATAAACTGTATCATTAAAACAATGACTTGTATATACACAATTCACAAATCACAACTATGAGTGGATATACTATAAAAAGATATAATGTACAAGATCTAAACCACAACCGAAAGATGGCAAAAAACAAACAAAAAAGTGAGCGTGTGTGTAATTGATTCACAAGTAAAATAGCTACTTCTGAAAAAAAAATCATAAAGTGTTCACTGATTTTATGGTAATATCGGACAAGCTGGCTCTCTAGATCGTAAAATCCTAAGATTTTCAGAACCAAATCAGGATTTGGACAAGGAATTTGAAGTAGCATACCTGCTCCCAGTCATAAACGAGAAGCTCCAAAGCTTGAGATTCGGGGTCTTTAACAACCAGATGGAATTCCTCGTTCCACTCGGGATTCAAGTTCTTGTGTCTGACAGTAGTTTTCTTCGAAGGCAGCTTATCTTCAGTGAGCTTTACCTTTACATAAGGGTCTGATGCTCCCAACAGATCTTTCTTTTTAAGTTTCATTGCACGTACAACCTTCACGGTAAGAATCCCAACAGGTTTCCTCATGGCCCTGCCGATTTTGATAGAATTATCAGGGTATTATTAGTGACACAGCAAACGATAAATAATTAAACAATGCGATAGATGAGACAACTTACTTCGAAGGATCCAGAACAGGTACGACCAAGGTTTTGGGCCATAAGTACATCATTGCAACTTGGTCTTTGATAAGTTCCTGGATGGGGACATGGTGACAAGATCAGATGCTGACTAAAAAGAACAAGAACTTTTCATTATAAAAAAAAAAAAAAAAGAACAAGAACTTTTACCACGGTATCATTTTTTAAACTATTTAAACAGAATGCATTACCTGAACAAATCGATAAAGTCCAGGAATGGACATAACGTCTGCTCCAAGCAATTTCAATCCAAAGTCAACATGTGGCTGCAGAAAAGGAGAATGGAAACCAGCCGGCAAGGAAAGTGAGGACAGGAGAGGAGGGAAATTGAATTCTTGATCACAACTACCAAGTAGCTGAACCAATTGTAGATTACCTTTTCCATGAGAGACACAAAAATATTGGCGAAACAGGGGAAAGTAGGGACCAAGGGCTTAAGTGTGATTCTTGGAGAAGCAAAAACTTGCAAATCAATCACCTGAAACACACACGACACGCACACAACGGTTCAGTCCTACTTGTAAGTGGGAGCATAAGAAATCTCCTAACAGCTAATTATAAGTAAAATTCAACATCCCGACTAGCCAGGTCACACACTTGGACTGTTGCTTTCAAGCCAAATGCTTTGACTCCAACTGTAATGTTAGGATTCCCGGCCCACTTCACCACAGGCTCCATAATCAACTCTTTCTCATCGGTTACATAAACTTTCATTCCTGGATGATGACAAATCAAAGAATAAGCACCTCCAAATAGATTTACCTTAAACACATACAACATGAAGCGAAAAGGAGTTAATAATAACAGCAATGTCTGCCACCATCTTAACCAACAGTCTGTCGAGTTAAGAAATGAAATGAGGGATGCACCAAGGCTATCTTATGCATACTTTATAAGTTTTGAATCTTTTTCTTCTTTTTTTCTTTTGAAGGACATTAGGTCATCCACACCTGGGCTAAATCATGTTCGCCTGAAACATTTCAGAGTTCTTAAACTATTCTTTGACAGTTTGACCTTATAACTATGTGACTTTCTACACAACATAGAGAAGAATATTACCTTGAATGGTTGGAGGCAATGTGCCCAACGTAAGCGCTTCGAATTCAACTGAATCTATTTTGTACTTGGGGATTTGCTCAGCAATAATCGGCTTTGCTATAGTCTTTGCAGTCTTACAAATTGCCTAGAGAAACCATGAATCATCAATACACAGGCCCAGAAATAAAGGCAACACCCTATAGGATTGCGTCCAAAGATCCATGCTACAGATCCCGTACCTTATCCAAGTAAGGCCACATGTGTGCAATGAACTTGTTCAGCCAGTCAACCTTCATTCCCAAAACAGAACATAAACACCATCAGAAAAGCTTGTTTCCAGGAATTCATGAAGAGACCCTATATCAGTTCATCATACATACGTTCAAGAATCAAGAAGCAGAAACCAGAAGCTTACTCTGTCGTAGTCCGGATTCTTCACCCACAAGGGTATTTCCGGGAACATCCGCTGCAAAGTCTCCGAGTCTTGCTCAACCAGAGGACGAACTACTGGATCCTGCAGAAATTCAAAAGAAGGCCACATAGAAAGATCAAGATCTCGGGACTTCCTAACTTCACCCATTGGAGCAAAAACTGAAAAGATTCGAAGCGCGAATCTAGTCCCATTATAGCAGGCAAATTCGAAGTCTACTCACGAAGACTCAACAAATGCTCAAACCAAAGTTTGCAGAATGAAAGATACATCCAAGCAAATCGAAGCTGGGGCTACCTTGACATCGGAGGGCTGGAAGTAGATGAACATGAAGTAGCCAATTGCGCAACCGATCGAAGTCCCAACTCCGAATCCGAATAAACCCATTATCGTGCTGATGATACCCATCTCGCCGGGAGGAATCACGGTAAGAACTGCCGCCGGCGCCGGGAAGGAGACACTTCGCGCTGCTTGAAGCAAAGCGAACAGTCGCCGAAATTTCTTCAAACGCCCAGGTATTAAGGAAACCTGGATTTTGCCGTCGATTTCTCCTCCTCTATATCTCGGTTCTTTGTTTTCGGTTTAGTTTTTTTGTCCTCTTTATCCGGAATTGAATGAGGGGGAAGTGATAATCAGAGAAATGTGGCGCAAATTGTCCGGAATTAAATTAAATGAGAAATTGAATTAAACTATATTTCCTGCATATTTCAGCGAACCGGTTGAGGTTTCTTGAGCTGACGCGCGGAGCCACTGAGAAAGGTCCTTCGGTGTCGGCAACACGGTCTTTCCGTGGATAGAGAAAAACGGCTCAGCAGCAATCAAGTCCATATACTTTGGTTTTTAACAAATAAGTACCCATACTATGTACTTTAGTCCACTATTGGAAATTCCCTTCAAACTCACGAGGATATATTGCTAGAAAGTATTATGTTAGCACAGAAATTGTAAGCCGGATAGGGCAAAGAACAGTTCGAGACTACTAATTTCTGGATGGCAAAAGATGGTAAGCCGGATTTGGTAAAGATTAGTTTGGGATTCCTGAATTCTAAATGATAAAATATGGCAAAATAGATAATTATTTTCTCTGTTTGGAATTAAAAAAATTTGAGAAACATTGTAAATCTTTGTCACATAACACTTGTATATCTATACCTAATAGTACGTAACTCATGTGACATAATGGAGAATCTACAAAATTCGTTACTAGCCAGCTTAATAAATTTCTGTTTGATGGCTCCTCGACTATTTTTATGATAAAATTTTCTTTTGTTTCTCGACATAGCCTCATCATGCATAATAAACAAGTGCATCATAACGAACGAAAGGAGAAGGGGATGATTTGCAAGTAGAATCAAGTGGTAAAACACAAAGTTCCAACACATATACAACATCTAGGTTATCAAGAATCGATGTGCTTGTTAAGCATGTGTTAACCTCCGCAGCCATGGATTTACATGAATTCTTATCAAATTAACTAAAAATGAGTAAACATAACATATCAAGAACGTGTTTATTTATAAAACATAATCATATCCTAAATACTTGTTTGTTAAAACAACATAGTATAGGGACTACAATGTCGTTGACCCTATAAGAAAATCTTTCCCTTTCTCAAATCGTTATTGCTAGTGACCTTTTTTCTAATTGGGTCTATCTACTATTGGCTAATTTGGAGTCTTCGGCCATGTGGAGCCGTCGAGCCATTGCCATGGACATCATCATCAAATTTTTGTTGCTACTTTCCATCATCACAATGGCCACACAGAGTAATTGATTGCGACTCTCCAATCCATGCTTCCTTTTTGCCCCGTTCAATAGGATTAGGTAGATTCGAATCGGATAAGTTAGTTTAAAATGCTAATTAATGGGTTATATGTACAATATGCCCCTTTACTTTACACTTTTTTCAAATGTGTCCTTATATTATGAATCACATCAAACTTACCCTTATACTATTTCACACTTCTCAACCATACCCCTCCATCTATTTTGCCGTCCACAACCGTTATCCTTGATCCAACCAGATTCTAGTTGGGTTGATTCTCGAAGATGGGAGGGAAATAGACAAATTTACCAATTTAGTTATACCTCATCGTCCTCGAAATTCTCATTCACGTCCCCATTAACCCATTCCCTCCAGCAATCTGAGAAGTAAGAACCCAACGCCCTCCCAGTCCCCACCGCGACACCACCTCAATTATCCAACCCCAACCCTATAGCAACTTCGATCCTATGTTTCACTAACACTCCCACCACCGCATCACCATACGTAACCAGTATGTAATTCTACAGGCGGTCTATATCTTCAGCTAACCAATCTCGCCTAGCTACTTTTCGGCCAATCCTTGAACAGAAACATTAAAATCCCTAATTTCTAATTCTACTCACAAGCACCCACTTAGAAGCTGGTAATGGGAAAAAATCCAAAACTACCACTGTTTAAAAAAAATTACAAAAATACCACCCACTCCAAATAATTTCCAAAAATACCATCGTTTATATAAAACCGCGCATTTAAGTCCGATCTGCCTCCAAAAAAACTTTTTCTTTGGTTTTCACTAAAAAACCGTCGAACCTCTGTCCGGATTCCGAGAGAATGGCCGATTTCGCTCAAGAAGAGGGCCTTTTTTATGATGATTATCAAACGGTACGTACTCATTTTTCCCAATTGTTGTTGTTGTTATAATGATTTATTTAATTTATATACTAATGATTTATGTTATTGTTATGCTATCGTAGGTTGGGTCGGATGTTGATATTTTCAATCAACGATATTATGTTGATCAAGGACCGATAGATCCGACAGTTTTATACGATCAAGCAAATCATCGTTCAAGAGACGTTTGGAACGACCACAAGGTACATATTATTTATCATCACTTGTAATTTGTATTTTGTTAAAGTAATTTATTTGTTTGTACAATAATTTACTTAATTGTTAATCGTATTGATTATTTTCAATAATTTAAATCAATACAATACAACACTTATTTAGACTCTTTATAGAGAAATGCATGTCTAAGGAAATGGGGACTTAAACGATCATCATGATCCCCCCATGACCTGGGAAAATCGGGTTCTAAGCGATCCTCGGATCCCCCCTTTTTCTGTCAAAAAGACTGTGTTTCTAAGGAGATGTATACCTCTCCTAAGAGTCTTGCGAGTGTACTTGTATTGCTTTAATTATTGAAAATAATCAATACGATTAACAAAATAATATATTTGATTTTATGTGTATGTGTACAAAAAATAATTATACTTAAATTTCGAATATTATTTTAGTTATGTTAATATTAATGTTTATTAGATAATGTATATTTATCTAAAACAACCTTGGTTTAATTAATATTACATCTTATAATATTATTTAGTTATGTTAAAATTAATATTTAATTGGCTAATGTATATTTCTATAAAACCGCTTGAGGGATTTCCTGTTGGCGGTGGGTAGAAGCTATTACAGGTGAGGGATAATTGTGGAGGGTTGGGAATTTGGATTTCAAGAGTAAAATCGTATTGTGATTTAAAATTGTGGGCGGCAAATAGTAATCTTACGGGCGACAAATAGCGATTCATTTTTCATATGGAAAACAAAACCTCTGTTTTCTTTACTTTTCGTCTCTTTCTTCTCGAAAGCAATGGCGGATTGGCGGTGGCATTCATACCACCAATTCCTTAATACTTGCAATTCGGTACTTGCCACTATCTAGAGAGGCTAGATAATGATCTAGCAACTGAAACTTGAGACGACGAGTGGGAGTTGTACCCCTGGATGGAAGAGAGAGAAACAGATGGAGGTAACAAAGCTGCAAAACAATGAGCGAGGACCGGAAAATCGAGCTGGTGAAGCTAGAAATTCCTGAGGAGAGAAGTTGAGGCGACAAGGCTCTAGGAGTTCAATTGTGGAGTTCAATTGTTGGAGGGGATGGGGATATTTGGGGACGTTGAGGTTAGATTTGTCTTTTACCGTCACATGTTTATGATATCGAGTATCAGAATTTGGTTGGACCAAGTTTAACTGTTATAGACAGTAAAACAGACGGAAGGGTATATTCAAGAAGTGTTTAATTGTAGAAAGGTAAATTTGATGTGATTTATAGTTGAGGGGCATGTTTGAGAAAAGTGTAAAGTAAAGGGGTATATTATACCTATAACCCCTAATTAATTGACAATCTTGTAAATCACTTGGACAATATTGAGAAGGTTGAAGGGCATCGGTTAGCTTGTTAACTTTGGAAAAATGACACCCCTTATTAATTATGGTATTAAATTTGTGTCGCATTTAATAATTTTTGGAAATTAAAAACTCATATTAATTACATTCATTGTTTAACTACAATTGCGTTAATACAACTATCATTGCACATGTACACTGAACTCATATTAATTACATTGCTTTTTTTAACTACCATTATACTTATACAACTACAATTATACTTGTACTTTGATACCATTGCACTGGTAGAACTACCATTGCACTGAAAAGGAAAATTAATTAATATGAGTTTTTAATTCAGACAGATTATTAAATGCAACACAAATCAATTACCTTAAAATCCTATAATTAATAGGGAGTGTCATTTTTCCAACCTTTTAGGTAGTCATTTACGAGTGAGGAGGCTCATTGGAAAAAAAATGAGAGGCTCTCTGGCCTCTCTACTCTGCTTTGGTTCGCTGCTCGGCAAATGGCTGATCTGGGTTGTAGCGGCGGCCTTTGCCACAAGCTGGAAGAATCAGATGGCGGAAGATTGGCAGTCGCATCAGGATCCGAGGCGCTTCAAGGCACGACCCAAGACAGGGAAGGCTGGCCTCCCTAGAGCTGTGAAGATTCCGTCGCCAGAAGAGATTGCGCGAGAGGTGGAATGGCGATCAGATCGGCGTCACCACCAAAATAAACGTTTGCGTTCGTCAATTGACGTTGGAAGCCTGGAGGAAAAACCTCTTAAACGGCTGCGACATAAATCCAAGAACCAATGGCGGTTCTGGCTCCCCCATTCGTCGAGATGGAAGGGGAAGAATCACTTCGAGCCCCGTTCGCGGGAGGAAACTCGTCGGAAAAACTAAAGAATGGTGAGCACCTGGCACCAGATGAAGGCCTTGATCGGCTACTGGCAGTCGGGGAGGGGATTTTCCCCAAGAAATTAGGCAGGGGAGGTAATCCATTTGATCAATCTGATCAGCATCCCTCGGGAGGAGATAGCCCCTGTGTGCGTCTGGAGGAAGAAAGGGTGGATGTCCACAACGAGCCATCCATGGCAAGCTCCATCGCGGAGAAGACTGGCGATGGGGTGGCGGCCGCCGAGCTTCGATGCCAGCTGGTGTGGCGGCACAGTACTAGGGCGGTTAGGATAGATTCGAATCTTCAGACCCCTCTTCTGTTGAGCGGGATCCCGGGAGAAATATCCGGAGAAAATTGCAAAGAAATCCCACGCGGCAAAGGTATCCGATTTCAAATGGAACTCGAATTCCAAACTGCCACTGGGAAGCCCGACTCTGCCTGGGAAACTCGGGATATTCAATCTATATAAACAATTGGTTGAGCTCTACTCGGCCATCAAAACTTGAGCGGTGGAGTGCGAGTCTTCCAGAAAATCAACCGGCGTTTTTTTGCAGAAAGCAGGAGGCGGCTCCCGACATTGATTCAGGTAAGCATGACTCGGCTTGCTTTACCTCTGAGACCTCTGCTTGTGGTGAGGTGCGAGACTCTAGTGAGCTTGGAAGCGGACTACAATCGCCGGGGAGCGCCGAGGGACGAATGTCGGTGGCGGGAGAGGGTTTAGCCCCGCCGGCGATGGCCTCTGCTGCGACGTCGGAACCAGCCTTCGGGCATAAACAAATCGACTCGATTGCCCCGGCGGCGGTGGCCGTTGATGCGCAGCGGGTCTTTGCCTTCGGGCTCAAACGCTGAGTCGCCATTACCCTAGGGAGTAAGGGGAGTGGGTTGGGGAGGCTGGGGGGGATGGGAGTTCTGGGCCTGGTAGGCCAGGCCGACTCCATTGGGCCAGCAAGTTTAATGGGCCAGCCGGCCTCCTGGGGATTATTTGGGCTGTTTGGCCAGATGGGCAAACCAGCCTCCATTGGGACAGTTGGGCCGGTCCATGCCTTCGGGCTTATCAAAACCAGACCCCCAAGCCCAATTTCCATTGATTTAAATTCCAAAATTATGAATCCTTTGGGTTTGCTATCACTGAGCCCATTGAAGGAAATAACCACGTTTAATGGGCCTAATGAGTTACTTGTCTATGATTGGCAGGTGAATATGGTGTCTCGAATTGCTGAGGATCAAGTTGTCGAGTTCTCACTGGAGGAGGTCCAATCGGTGAGGTTTCGAACCTCTAGGACTCTTCTGGGAAGGCTCTTTTTGGAGGCCCAGTTTACTGCTGCGGAATTGAAAGAGGGACTTGTAGAAGCATGGCGGGTGAAGGGAAACCTTAGGGTTTCACTTACGAAATTTGGCTTGTTCGAAGTGGTGTTGCCCAGTGATGAAACAAGGGTGTGGGCTCTGAAACGGTCACCCTGGATTCTCAAAGACAGGATCTTCCACCTTCGATCCTGGACACCAGCGATTTCCAGGCACACTTTTGAGGAATTAGCTTTTGCACCCTTTCGGGTTCAACTCTGGAATGTGAAGGATGACTGCTGCACTAAGCAGTTTGGCCAGAAAATGGCATCGGGGAAGATCAGGCAGGTCTTGGAAGCAGACGTCTTCGCGTCAAAGGAGACGGATGAGCACTTTGTAAAAGTGCACGCTCTCATTAACTTTGCTAAGCCATTGCGATCTCAACTTATGGCGGTTAGCGAGGAGCTTGGCGAGTTCTGGGTCAATCCCAAATACGAGTTCCTTCCCACTGTCTGCTTCCACTGTGGACGTGTAGGGCACTCTAAGCGTGACTGTGTCTTTGACCCTCCCCCGGGGAAAGAACGCTTTGGCCCTCACATGACCACGAGGAAGCTCGGGCGCAAGGTATACATGGAGGAGGATAACTTTTCGAAGTTTCGGGGTACAAGCAAGTCGGTGTGGATCAACAGGAATGTCCGAATGCAGAATGATGGAAACGCAAAGATTGGCAAGGGGCGGGTGGAGGAGGTGCCGAGGGTGCCCTCTACAAATACTCCGATGCTGGGAGGACTCCATCAGGGGGGGCACCATGACCGGCCTACTGAAACAGAAGAGCAAGTTAACATGACAGATCAGCCTAGGCTGCGAGAACCCACCAGCCAGAAGGCCGGGGATCATACTAGTCCAAAAAGATTTAGCTTCAAGAAGTCCCCCAGGGTGAAGCTTGGTGGAGGGGTGAGGCTACCGCAGAAGAAGCAGTCACCTGGGAAAAATACTAGTATGGTTCAGCAGGAGGCTCACGGTCGTAAACAGACGAGTAGACGCAAGAACCAAGCTCCCCAACCGAAGAAGGAGACTGATTCAGTGGAGTTAGTCCTTGAGCAATCCAGAAGGAGGAGACTGATATTGCAGAATGAATCTGAAGAGAAGGATAATGTGAGGTCTGCAGCCATATTAAAGAAGGCTGATCAGACGACTGTGGGCAAGGCAGGGGGCACGGGGTCTCGGGTTTGCCTGCGGTTGAGGAAAGAAGGAGCTCGCTCCCCAAGATCGTCGCCCACCCGGGTTGATGAAGGAAATCTTACTGGGGAAATACTGGATTTGGAGGATAAAGATTATGGGGATGACTTTGATGACCCCAAAATGGAAACACAACATCAGGGATCTGATTCGGATGAGGACCCATCGCTGGAGGAGTCCCATGCTTTTGAAATCAAGCGCCGTTCACCCTCTGGTGTTACCAAGGAGGTCTCTCATGTCAAGAAAGGCCGAGTTCATCAAGTGGTGGAAGCTTTTGAAGCAGGGCTGAGCACTAACCAAGTGGAGCCTTCCTCCTGGAAGGAGGCGAGTTTGGGGATGAATGAGTATGGGTCTAATCTGGAGGACCCAATCATGGAGAATAGGAAGCGGGTGATTGAGGAGGTGGAGGGGGCTGTGGGTGACCCTCCTACTCCGAAGAGACAATTTGTGGAAGCAGTGGATGACCAGGAAAAGGTGGAGGAAGCCAGCCTCGAGTGGCCCCCAGTGGATAAATGAGGCTTCTGGCCTGGAATGTGAGAGGAATTGGGTCATCCCTCACCTTCCATTCCGCTTTAGGGCTTGTTCATTCTAATAAGCCGGATGTAGTGTTTTTTTCAGAGACGCGTTCGAGCCGGCGTGTAGTGGCCCGCCATATGCGGGGTTTGGCTTTTGAGTTTTTTTGTCGATGCAGTCGATGCTTCGGGTGGGTTAGTTGTTGCTTGGGCCCCTGGGGTTAACACTTCGGTGTTTTGTTCTTCCCAGTTTTATATTTGTTTGCAAATTAATGAAGGTTCTTCTTCGTACTTGGGTTAACACTTCGGAGCTTTAATCATACTTGGCTTACGTTGATCCCTAAAGTGGATTCTGTGGAAAATGTCCGCCAGCTGCGGCCGATTAGTCTCTGCCAGTTCGTTTATAAAGTGATAACCAAGATCATGGCAGAGCGGCTTGCAGGCTTACTTCCTCAACTAGTGTCTGAGGGCCAAAATGGGTTTATAAAGGACAGACAGATTATTGATAATGTCCTTCTTGGGCATGAGTTAATGCATTATCTCAAAATAAAACGGCAGGGGAAGAAGGGGTACATGGCTCTAAAGGTTGACATGGAAAAGGCCTATGATAGAGTTGAATGGCCTTTCCTTCTGGCAGTTTTGGATAAGATGGGCTTTAACTCTGTCTAGCAAGGATGGATACACGAATGTCTTAGCTCTGCTACTTTTTCGGTTCTGATGAATGGTACGCCTTCAGGCTTTTTCGGTTCCACTCGGGGACTCAGACAGGGAGATCCGTTGTCGCCTCTCCTGTTTGTGCTTTGCACGGAGGGGTTTGCGGCTCTTCTTCGGAAGGCTATCTTTGAAAAGAAGTTGGAGGGGGTGAAGGTGGCACCGCGTGCTCCTAGGATCTCGCACTTGTTTTTCGCTGATGATTCCTACTTATTCCTGCGAGGCTCTCTTCAGGAGTGCGAGAATCTAATTGTGGTGCTAAATGAGTATGAGGAACTGAGTGGGCAGCGAGTTAATCTGGAAAAGTCGGCAGTATGCTTTAGTAAAAATGTAGCCTTGGAGGATCAGGAGTTTTTGGCTGCGATTCTTGGGGTCGGAGCAGTAGGGGTACATGATAAATACTTGGGTTTGCTCACGTTGATTGCTCGATCCAAAATGGCGACATTCTGTTATCTGGAGGAGAAGTTACTGGCGCGTCTGCAGGGGGTGGAAACAGAAAATTTTATCCTGGGCGGCTAAGGAGACCTTAATTAAGTCAATTGCTTTGGCTTTGCCCCTGTATGTTATGTCTTGTTTCCGGTTGCCTCTCTCCCTTTGTCGTTTATTGGATAGACATGTGGCCCGCTTCTGGTGGGGAGCTGAGGAGGGGCACCCCAAGATTCGGTGGGTGTCCTGGCGGAACCTTTGTCGGAGTAAGCATGAGGGGGGACTTGGATTTCGGAGGTTGGAACATTTTAACCAGACCCTCTTAGCAAATATTGGCTGGCGTATTATCCAAGAGCCGAATTCCCTCCTGGCTCAGGTGTATAAAGGGAAGTACTTTCCTCACGGATCTTTTCTATCTGCTACTGGCCGGTCTAGGCCGTCTTGGGGATGGCAGAGTATCCTGTTTGGTCGCCAGCTTTTGGAGGCAGGGTTAAGATGGCAGATCGGCAATGGCCTATCGGCCTCCCTGGTGCATTCTAACTGGATTCCTGGGCTTCAACTGGATCCTCCTTGCTATAACCCTCGTGTCCTGCCAAATGGGGGGGGGGGGGGGATCCCCGGGTAGCGGAGGTTATTTGTCAAGGGGAAGGGCGTTGGGATGAGAATAAGCTTAGTCAATGGTTTGGCCCTTCTGTCTGTCGGGCCATTACAGCTATCCCACTTCCGAGGCGGAGTGTGGATGATAAACTTATATGGCATAACACTGCTGATGGGGTGTTCTTGGTTAAGACAGCATATCATCTGGCTGTTGAGCTTGACAGGAGGAGGGGTGGGTGGCGAGACTCAGTGAGTTGGATGGATAGACAAAGCTGGATCCGGTTGTGGGAAGCTAAGATCCCTCCCAAGCTTAAATTCTTTGTCTGGAAAATTTTGAATCGAGCCTTGCCAACCACAGAGGCGCTCATTGAAAAGAAGGTTCCTGTGCTGTCCCGGTGTCCGGTTTGTTGGGATGGTTCTGAGACTATGGAACATTTATTTCTTTACTGCCCGGTTGCGCGGGCTCTCTGGGATTTATCGGGGTTGGAGTATTTAGGAGAGGCTTTGCCTCGGCACACTTTTCCACTATTTCTGAAGCGGATGCTTGCCTTGGTCCATGATCAATCGTTGTTTATGGCGGTGGTTGCCATCCTTTGGCGGATCTGGCGTTCGCGAAACTGGGTTGTCTTTGAGGGCAAACAGTTTGGGCTTCCGGCTTTAATGCGCCAATTTCATCAACAATTTGAGGAGTGGATGGGGCTGCCGGTTGACCAGCAGTCAAGGGTGTCGTGCCAGGTGGTCCAGCCAGGGATCCAAATGGATGATTCTTGTTTGGTTTGCCTGTGGGATGGGGCAACTAGGAGGGGATCACACTCGGCTGGAGGCTTGGTTCTTTGTGGTCCGGGAAGGACGGTCCTTCGGGCTAAAGGTGTGCAATTTGCACGAATTGATGATCCGATGGTGGTGGAATTGCTTGTGTTGCGTGAGGCTATCACTTGGTGTTTAGAGTGGGGTTTTTCCGGGGTTCGGTTCGAGGGTGATGCGAAGGTCATTATTGACAAGATTAATCAGGCCGATTTGCGGGACAATCGCTTGGGGGCAGTCCTGGACGAGATTTGTCAATATTTTGCTGCCTATCCAGGGTTTACTGTGCGGTTTATAGGTCGGGAGAACAATAGGGTAGCACATTTGGTTGCTAGAAAAGCCCTTTCTTTGTACCCAACTGGGAACCGTTATTTTGATTTCAGGGCCTGGCTGCTTTCTAGGATGTAACTATCTTTCTGATTGATTAATATATATTATCTTTTGACAAAAAAAAATTACGAGTGAGGAGTGTGCTTATAATGGCCAAGGTTAGCTTTTGGTAAGTTAGTTTGCTCATGGTGTCATTAATGAATAAAGAACCGATTAAAGAAAGGAACAAAGATGTTTGTTTTACGAGTTAGGAGTGCGCTCATAATGGGCAAGGCTAGCTTTTGGCACAGTCTCGTTTATCTCTACGGTCAATGCAGTCAAAAGCGAGATTCTACCTCGAAGCGGAAAAGGGGTAAAATCGTAAAACTTAATATCAAAGTGTAAAAGCGTAACTTTTTGACGCATACTGAAAAATAATTAAAAATCTATTAAATAGGACATATACTATATAAAATATGAATGCACAGAATTTAGATAAGTTAATAAATACATGCAATTCATGCTTAAAGTAGAACAACTTATAGCATCTTAATAATAAGTTCGTAAACGTAAATTTTAACAATAAACCACTTTTCCTTCTATGCTAATGAATTTGGGAAAAGTCTAGAAGGTGAATTAGATTACGCTATTGAAGTTGAGAATGCATCCAAGTACCTGATATGTATATTCTAATATCAAATGTATCATATTGTTGGTGATTTACTTTTAAAATATACTTTTTATAATTAATTTCATGAAAAGAATACTCATTTAGTGAACTAAAAGCGTAAAAACGTAAAGCGTTTTGGTGAACTAGAAGCGTAAAACCATAAGTTTTTAAGCTTTAAAGCGCAATTTAGTCCGATTTTACACACTTAAGTTTTTAGATGGAAACAAAAACGTTTTGGTGACCTAAAAGCGTAAAATCGCAAGTTCTTAAGTTTTAAAGCGCGATTTTGACTGCATTGTCTACGGTATGCATGAACTTGCAGACCCTGTCACTGGATTACGATCGATTCTTAGGGATGACATCATGGGAACAACTTTTGAGCGTCGAGTTATTACTCGACCATCTTCTTCTTTGTAATCCCTTGTAACCTCCCCTTCTGTTTCTTGGCTTCGGCCTCCCCGCAATGTGGGGAAAAAAACTAGACGATATGTTTCATGTTGCCATACCCGAACTTGAGTGGGTTCAAAATTTGCTCGTTGAGCTTCTTCATTCGCTCTCGTCGACTCCTACTCTCTAGTCCGACAATCTTCGTGCCACCTGCTGCTGTTCAAAACATGTGTTTCACTCACGTATGAAACATTTGGCGTTGGACTATCACTTTGTTCGTCAACTGGTTCAAGTCGGTCGTCTTTGCATCCGCCACGTACCCACTGCTCATCAGATGGTTGGTTCTCTCACTGAGCCTCTTACCGTCACTCATTATCTTCTTCTTCTTCAGTACAAGATCGAAATTGTTGACACTTTCTTCGTCTTGCGAGGGCGTAATAGATATAAGACATAGGTTGCAATTAATAATTGTGTTTATATTCATCATTAGTGTACGTATTGTAAGAGTGGCCTTCTTCATTCCTCTTCTGTAACAACGGTCTTCTCATATTCTATTGCTAGTTTATTACCAATGGAAGACAGTAATTTTCGCATAACTATCGTGTGTCTCACACAGTGATTGATATTCAAGTAAGTCATTCTGTAATATCGGTACAAATTCCTTAAAAATAAAATTTCAATTACCGAATTGCTAATTACTTTGAAGTTTAGTGACCATTTAGGTACACTCCCAAGCCTTCTGATGTTCCTTGACGTTACCATGGTGAGGGATGGATTGGTCGGTCCCCCTTTCCGGTTGGGGAAGGCCAGGCGGATTTGTGAAATATCTTGCTGTCTGGGACTTGATAGTGATTTCTGTGGTCAGAACCGTTGCTTTCTCTTGTTCATCAATTAACTATGCTCTGATCATCATTAGTTTAGTGCTGCTATTCCCTTAATGGAAGTTTTCCACAAAAAACAAAACTATGTTTTGCTTTCAGAATCTGGGCCGGTAGAGGGACTTGGTTTTTTTTAAAGCTATTTCTGGTTATGGTTGGTTCAAGGTCGCACCTTCTATTATGTTATAAAACATTGGTGTTTTAATGTACAATTTGAAATTGTACCATAACGTTAAATATATAAGTTTAGGTTGCATTATAAAGAAATTTGTACCCTTATCTTATTGTACAACTTTACAACTTAAAGTTGTAACAAGTTCAAGTTGTATCATAAAAGAATTTATACAAAAAACTATAGATACAATATGAAATTGTATCATAAAAGTAAAAATCTATAGCAACAATATTATATAGCATTGTAAAAGTCCTCATATTCAAGTACTTTCAGGGCGATTAGAGATGAGCTTAACTAAAAGGTCAATAATTCAATTGTTATACCATGGTTAATCAACGTGTGTTATATAATGTGCATTTGGGATTATTATTCAGTTCGGCCCAGTTCAAATAACTGTGGGTTTGAAACGAGAGAACGTACCTTGGCCCCAACAAGCCCACCTCTACACCAATTAAGGTTCGGCCGTCCTTTGCATGGAAATTGCAAGGCCTGTGGACTATGAATATGGTTATGGTATGTTTGTTTGAAATCTACACAATATACAAAGACAAAACATGAGTTACAATTCTCCCATTTGAAATTTAGTGGTGAGAGTGATTCTAGGAATATCATTTTTGTCATTGCACTCAGCTCATATTTATATATTAAAAATGTTACCAATGGAGTTTGAACCTTCACCCTTTGAATGAAGTAAGAGCATTATAACCAACTAAGCTACAATTTATTCACTGTTATTTTTTTATTGAACTCTAGCAATATGTTTGGTGATGATGCTTCTATATTTATATTTTATCTTAATTTATTTATATTTATAGAAAGATATTAGTTCTGAAATCGGAACTCAAGTAGTATTGATCCAAACATTAAAATCAAATTGTATGTGTTGTTTAGTTCAAAAAAAAAAAATATAGAAGTGTAACCAAAATATGGACCTTTGTGACAAGTATAATCATTTTTTTGTGACAAATCTACACATAATATAATGATAAAATTGGAAAATGAGAATCTCATTTCAATTTTCGTGGACTGAGAGTGATTCTAGGAAGCTCTTTTTTGTCATAATGCATAATTTATCTTTATATTATGTGTAGATTTGTGACAAAAAAATTACTATATTTGTCACAAAGATCCATATTTTGGCTACACATATGTATTTTTGTCTAAACTGAACTACACATACAATTTATTATTTAATGTTTGAATCAATGTTACTTGAGATCCAATTTCACAATTAATCACTCTCTATAAGAAATAATAATTTCAGATAAAATACCTTTCCAATTTGGTTGAAGAAGCTCTTTCTATGAGATATATTCAATATTTTATGATTTTTTATTTCAAATTTGGTGAAGCGAGAGCAAAAGCAGGAAGAGTATTTTTTGTCATCACAATTATTATATACTTCATATGAAAAATGGGTTAATTGCATGGTTGGTCACTGAGATTACAAAAAACGTTCAAGTTTGGTCACTCGAAATATTTAAATCCATTGGTGGTACTTCAGTTTACTGAAACCGTTCACGTTTGGTCACTCTCCGTACAACTCCGTTAACTTTGGCTGATGTGGCAGTCAACTCTCAAAGTTGACTGTTAACTTAGTGACGTGACAATTAATAAATAAATAAATAAAATTTAATCTATTTTAATGTCTAACTCATTTTTATCATAAAATAAAAAAATTATTATAATTATCAAATTGAAGGGCTCTAAAACCTCACCATCTCCTGCTTGTCGTCGGCGACAACCATGGAGGAGCTCCTTTCACACGGAATAGCATCATTGATTCATTTCGAATCAATTTCAGAGATGGAAGGGAAAGTGCAATTCACTAATTATTTCATAGGATACACCTGGACATAGGGGCGGATACATGGGCTTGTAGGGGTGACCCGGGACACCTCTAAAATTTGTGGAAACGATTATCCAACCTTCGGTAGTAGTTTCGTATGGGTATACAAAATATAATTGGTAATCCGGGACACCCTAACATTTGAAAAAATGATTACCCTACCCTCGATAATAGTTTGCTTATGATTAACAAAATAAAAGTGGTAGTCCTTGTTATTCCAACCTAGGACACTACTATTATCAAACATATTCTAATTATGTTGCTACTCATTTGTTATTCTATTTTAAACATCATGCAACAGTAAAACGCCTATTTCTTTATCCCAAACTATTTTCAATACCTAACAATTGAACTACGTACAAGCTACCCTTAATTTTGAATTGATTTTATGGTTACACGGCAAGTGTTGAAAGAGTCTTTTCTACTTTGAGCTACATTAAGAACAAGGTTAGAAATCGAATATGTGATAAGTTCGTGAAGTATTGTCTAGTAGGATATGTAGATTTTTTTTTGAATAGTGCAAACACGGAGTTTATTTATATTATTTTTTCAAAATATGAAAACACATCATGAATTTTAATAAAAAATTTATACATGATATATTTAATATACGAATTATTTAATTTATTATTTAATTAAATTTAACTTTTGAAGAGGACACCCTTAAATTTTTTTTTATAGAATCAAATCCAAGTAAAACGTACCGTACAGAAACAAACTCATATCGGAGTATAGGCGCCCGGATTGCCCTCGTTGGCGCCGGCGCCTTCCTCTTCCTCCTCCGACCAGTAGGCATTCAACTTGGAAGCAAAGCTGGAGACCAAAATGAAAGCGGCTCCACCCTGGAAAACCCCAATTCTCAGGGTCTCACAGCGAGCATCTTCCCTAAATATGAACCTGTAATCGTTCCGCTGCGCATTCTTCACCGAACCCACCAGCAAGCAAGCCTCTGCCCCCAGAAATGCAGTCTTGCGTTCGCGCATCCATTGATTTAGTTTGTAGATTAATTAATCATCAAAACAAGATCCAATGTTTCACAACCATGGTCGTCGGCGGCGGCAAACAATAGGAGATAGTGAGGTTTCGAAGCGCCCTTTCAATTTGATAATATATATTTTTTTATTTTATGATAAAAATGAGTTGGACATTAAAATAGATTAAATTTTATTTTTTATTATTTCTCAATTGCCACATCACTAAGTTAATGGTCAACTTTGAGAGTTGACTGCCACATCAGCCAAAGTTAACGGAGTTGGACGGAGAGTGACCAAACGTGAACGGTTTCAGTAAACTGAAGTACCACCAATGGATTTAAATATTTCGAGTGATCAAACTTGAATGTTTTTTGTAATCTCAGTGACCAACCATACAATTAACCCTATGAAAAAGTATCAATATCAAGATTTAAATCATGGTCTCTTAAAACAAAAACAATAATCACAACCAATTACACTAAATAAATTTGTTTTATCTTCATAATTTGTAAACATGCACTAAACGAAGATTTGAAAAGCATAGGACTTTTCACAGTTAGCTAGCCTATTAAATCTTCCAAAAAGCAAAATTTAATATGTGATTTATAATTTTTATAACCTATAAAATGACGGGTAATCTTAAAATTGCAACACAAATTTCATTGCTTAAAATATTGCATATCGAACTGCAGTATTGAATATGCAAAAGCGATGTAGAATTCTGTAAAATGAATTTTCAGAACTAATACGAAACAATAATATTTTGTACAAACTATAGGTGATTGGTTCGCTAAAATTTTAGTTTGGTTAACTGCTAAATGTTAAACTCTTGCTAATCGGGCATGAATGGACCTGACAATAATGAGACGATATTGAGTTTAATGTGATGTTCATTTCGTCAGTTTTGGATCGGATGCGTTGATCAATTTATAGGGCATTAACATATAAAGGAGTTATAATTAACCTCATTATACATTTTTTACTCTTTATAATAATTAATTTAATCTTAATATTTGTGATGTTTGAAATATTTTATGTATGATTTAGAGGTATAATTATTAGGTGGCGTATTCTGTGCACCCACTTTTTCAGGTGCACTCAGTGCACCCGCCTCATAATTGTCATTCTAAGCATGTGATTCATGTCAAAACGGTATCAATTTTTGCTTATGATGTTATGAACAAGAAACACATGAATTCGCAAAAAAAAAAAAAAACATTCAAGATTTACTTTAATTTGAAGGATTAAAGGTTTAGATATTTAGGGTTAGGGTTTATAATTTGGGAGTTTGGGTTTGTGTTCAAAATTGAAGGTTTAAGGGTTAGGGTAATGGATTGATTAGTTGTAGTCTTATGTTATATCATCATTTCATACTAATGCTACCAATTAAAATTCCAAATTTGTTGTCTTAAGACTACTTTTAGAGTTGGGTGCACTGAATGCACTCATGCATTTATTTGTGACATCAGTATTAGTTTACTCAAATGTAGTATTTCATTAGGTAGTCAAAATCGAATACTCGGTGCATTTATGACTATTTTTATCTTGGTGTTGTGAATAGATAGAAACTTAATTATTATAATGCATATAACTATACCTAGGCATATGATCGAGCTAGCACGACACAGATAGAGCATAACATGAAGACAATGTATATGGATCGGCCATGTACAAGCATGAATGTTTCAAAGGTCGTATCATACTTAAACTTCAAGGGCTTGCGCACAAGTGCGAGGACCAAACAGTCTATATTGGTGAACTCATGTTTTATGGAGAAATGCGCCATTTGATAAAAATAAAACAAAATATTCTAAAAATAACATATAAAATTTGAATTAATAAGTAGTTTATCACATCAACGTGTGACGGCTCATATTCTAAAAGGCTTATAAAATACATTCATTGTTTATTTTGAGACTCAATATTTTTCAATATATACAATTAAAAATTCATTTATAAAATTGTTCTTGATTAACTTCATAACTGAAAAGTCTTTTTTACAACTTGCAGTAATAACAAACAACGTCAACAATAATTTTTGAAGCAAGTAAAGTGAAGAAGAAATAGGGATTTAGTATTTCTTTGCAAATGTGTGTGTGTGGAGGGGGAGCTTTTTTTGTCTAGAAAATTTGAGGAAGGGTTCAAACTCATATATAATTTGTTTGAATATTGCATATTGAATTAGAGTATTGAACATTTTGGAAGCGATATATAATTATTAAAGTAGTATTAATTTTCAGCCCGGTTGACCAACAACCTTAGACCTTTTGCAATCTGACATGGATCCAATAATCATTAGATGGGATATAGTTTGATATGGCGTCGATTCAAAACCATTTTTATGTGTAATGAATTTGTACGACAAATACATGGAAAGTGAAGATGAACCTGTTATGCATTTGGATTCTTTAGAAAAATACAATGGTTTAAGGCATTAAGCGATGAACTAACTATACACTCGCTCGATTGGTTTAACGAGTTCTGCTTTTTATCACTTTTAATAATTAGTTTATTCACAAGCTATCAAGTAGTTTATTCACAAGCTGTCAAGCTACTTTGCTACACCGATGAATAAACGACCATCTATTCATCAGGTTTCAAGAGCTCTGATTCACATTATTAATTGTGAATGGAGAAGAAGCATTTCAAACGCAAAATTGGAGAATTAATTGAGATATTTCTAGGTTTTTCTCGATTCCAGACGGTGGGAAGAAAAAAGAAGGGAAAATGAGAGAGTTGTGAGATATAAAGCTGAGAGATAGAGATGGAAAAACAAAGAGCAAGACAAAGAGAGAGTGAGAGGACACATTGAAATGAGGAGGAAAATGAGGTAGTGTGAAATAATTGTCCTTCTGCTTTGATTAATGGATATTCTTTACCCTATTCTGTTGAGTTTTAATTTATTTTTGGACATGACATTATGTTTGACATATGTTTTTCATTTCAATTTAAAATTCTAAATTAATATTATCATTTGGAAGATTTTTTTTCTTAATACAATTATTGTAATTTCTGAGATTTAAGGGGAATTTGATAGTGTCAATATTTTAGCGATTTTTAATTTAAAGTTTGTATTGAAAGATCGTACATACCAGCGGTTAGACCATAAAACTTCACATTATAGGCTAAATCGATAGGTGATATTTAGTAATATGAAACGATTGAACCATAGTTAAATTATGACTTCAGTATAAAATATTCTACTACCAACTTTTTCGATCCGGTTTTACAATCCTTTGGAGCAAACAATTCTTTTACACTGGTGGAAACAAAAGTTTTAAGAAAAATTTTGAACTATCTATTGCAAAAAATCATAAATCAGTTAGAGATAATGAGAATATGCGATCTCATGCAACCCAAAAGACACTTTGCAACTTCTATCTTTTTAAAATAAATGTATGTTATTCATACCGTCGCTCATTCATCAACTTAATGAATACCATATATTTCATACTTTTTTATTTATTGAATTATTCATGAAAAAATATTTGCTGCATGAAAATTACTACATTGTTGCTAGACATGTCTGCGATCTGAGAATAATTTGGGAAGTCCGTACACAACACATTGTCCAACTAACTATTAGCGACAACTTAGCCGCATCATGTCCGACGATATATTTCAAATCAAGCAACTTCATATTCATTACCAATAGTGTGATAAAAAAGAATGCTCTCAATTGGGAAAAACTTAAAGGACATACTAAACTCTAAGAGACATTTTCTTTCATCCTAAAGGTTGATTATGTATGTATTATGAGAAACAATTCTAATATTCAAATATATGGTTTAACTAAGTAATGAATGATAATTAGTTTATTTATTTTTTCATTCAATAATTATATGTAATGCTTATATAATTATATTATATTTTTTTTCTCTTTTCATGGAGGTCTAAACACATTATGCACAGTTGGATCACTTTTCAAAAAATTTATGTGCATAACTAAGGAAGAAAACAATAATTTCATATATTTCAAATCATCTACTATATCCATTATTGTATAGCATATTACTCGATAAAATTCTTTCAGCCAACGGGTTGGACCCTGTGCTAGTTTAATCACTAAGGTAAATACCCTATAGGCTATAGGCGATGGTTGGTTGCCTCCTTTTTAACGGTAAGAACGTGATCATTGTTGTGAGATCAACCATAACGACAAGTTATTAACTACTTTCAACAGCGGATGGGCTGACATTGGCAGTACAAGAAATATGGTTCAAACTTGAAAGAGTTGTTTCCATTAAAGTTCACAAATGTATTGAACTCGTAGATTGATGGATAAATGAATTGCATTAAATAAATTCATTAATTATTAGATTGAATTTATAGATCCAAATGAAATTTAAAAATTGAACAATTATAAAGTTTTAAAAATTATAGGTACTGAAATATCATTATAAAATGGTTTGGTATCAAAAGTATTTTTAAAATTTATTTTTATTAAAAAATTGAAATTTATATATCAAATTGTAAAGGAAAAAAATATAAGAACTAATCTATATTTTTCAACAATCCATAAATTCACTTATCCAATTAAATTTGAATTAAATGATTTTTTTTGTCATAGTTATTCCCGAAGAGAAGCAACATAAATAAATAAAATGAATTGAATTAGTTTAACTTCTTAGTGAATGAATTAGATTGATGGATTACGCTCAAATGGTCATATGTAGTTCCAACTAAAGCATGAGTTTTAGGAATTGAAACTAAATTCATTCAATACCAATTGAAAAGATGAGTGTTAAGGACTTCGATAGAGAAACTCTTTTAAGAGGGCAACTAGTATCTAGTTTAATAATATCGTGACACAGTTTTAGAGATTTTGCAAATTTTACTTGCTTTTCACTTCAAGAAATCCTTATGTTGCTGGTAAGTGGTAGAAGCATTGTGTTCTATACCCACGTTATGGAACTCGAGTCTCAACTGTTTAGATGGTAGCCTCCCGAAAAGGGCACTTCCCTCTACCACAATTACGATAGATATACAGGTCGTTGTTGTAGGTAGGGCACTCCCGTACAATAATTTTGGTCGAATGGAGCATATTGTTTACCATAGCGACCACAATAAGCTTAGGGACGACCGTTACCGAGGAATGGACGCTTGAAGCTG